ATTTGTTTTTTTGGAGACATTTATGAAAGATTTCATGCAAAAATTATTTGAAATGTCGGAAATCAGTAAAAGTCATACTGTACTTTTCTATTCCAAAGGTATTTCAAAACAATCAAACTGTTTCAGTGCCATCTCAAACTATTGGTAGGTTTTGCTTAATTTCTTTTATTAAATGTATTTTTAATATGTCTCTCCCAAAGGCGATTTTTCTGCGATTTAACGTAGCCCTTGTTGAAGAGGCCGACCACCACCGAACTCCATGCTTCCCCAAGCCTCCTCCTCCTCCGGCGATCTCTTCATCTAAGAAGACATGCTTCTCACACTCGAAACATCACCGACAATCGTTCGGAGTTACAATTCGATAGTGAAGAAGGAGATCCATTTCGCTTATGCCTCTCTTTCTCTTCGTCGCCTGGACCCGCTTCTCCGGTTAACCACCCCTTGTGTAAAGCCATCGACTCTTCTCTCGGAGTGGTGACGAGGAGGCAAACCGCGACCGCTCCTCTCCCAATACCACCAGATCCTCTCACCGAGCCACAGAACAACCACCCCAACGACTCCTCTCTCTCAACCAATTCGTTTAGGGCTAGGTCGGATGTAAACCCGCCACACTCACGATCGATGGTGGTGGTCCCCTGCGTTGCCAGATCCAACGAACACAAAGCTCTGCCTCCGCTCCACCTCCGTAAGCTTCTCCCACACCTTTGTGGTATTGGGCCTGTTGTGGTTAATTTTGGCTCATAGGTTAAAGGCTTTGTTAGGAGAATTAGATAGTGGGTTTAGGTTGAGAAGAACATTGAATTTATCTACATGCTTGGCATGGCTTAGTCTATCTACGTGTTTGAGTGTAAAACCATGATCTCTGAATCCATGGTGACTCGTGGTGATGACAAATCGGCTTTGTCACATGAATTAGAAAAATGCTTAAGGCCTTTCTCGGTAAAATCCGAAGCCTTACACTTGGATCGAGTCTTCCCTTTAGGTTTGATAGTTGTTCCCAAACTACATGGGTTATCCTCCTTCGTTTCAATTTTCGCTTTAGTTCAAGATTAGCAAGTTTATTTGTTGAGACTCTTGCAAGAAAGGCATCTTATGATGTTGTAACCGATCCAAATGTTTAAGATAATGAAGAAGTTACTTGTTGTTCAAAAAAAAAAAAAATTAATATAGTAAAATATTTTTTCTATAAATATGAAACTAATTTTTTTCTATAATAAACAAAAATTAGAAGAAAATTTTGTATCTTAGTCGGAAGTCGAAACTTCGTTCAACTGCTTCATTTGCATGTGCTAAAAGACGGTACTGAATTGTTTATATGTTTAATTCTAGTTAATTGGTTTATTTCAAGTAATTGATTTGTTTACTACTCTGAAGGTAAGATGTAATTTTCTTTATAATCGTAGTTTTGTTTATTATTTCGTAATTAAATACCTAATGTAGCTGGTAAGTATCATATTTTTCAAATTTCTAATGGTGATGCACAGCTTAAGTTATGTATGGTGTGCAAGTGGATGTGGTTTTGTATCCAACTTTCATTTTTTGGTTTTGGTCCACTAGTATAATTTGTTTGGGCTTTTACATTTTGTAAAAACAGCACCATATATAGTTCAAATTATTTGATAGTATGTAGTACAATACTACAATTTGTAATATGATTCTTCTACACGCCACATGGATATTCAACAACTCGTCTCGTAAAGACTTTGCTTCGAGCTTGATTTACAATGTGAAAGTTAGAGAACCCATCTTTCTTGTACAATGGCACAAACTAGATTGGATCAAACAAAGAATCTTGAAGCATAAAATCCTTACTTCGATGTTTATGCTAGATAGATGTCCCACTCGCGATCGTCTTCTCGATCTAGAGCATTTTGAGCAAAGGATGCTTGCGGTCTGGCTCGAGTTAGCACTTTGACAGCTTCTAGCTCCTCTAATGGTTTTTGTAAAGGTTTCATATCAAACTCAAATAAATTTCTATTTTCAGATAACACTATATGTTCTATCAAGTCAATAGAAAAATATCGATATT